AGACACAAGAATATGACACAGCAGGAACATAGACACACAGAGAAGTTGCAAGTGGAAAATGGTTGGTTGAGGGGGGAGAATTCATTTAATGGAGTCGTGGACTAATAAATTTTTTATAGAATACACAGGCGATCATACCCACAAATTTCAATACAATCTTTTAATAATAAGAACATGTAGGAATGAATAATATAACTCAAATCCAAAATCCTCTTATGAATAAATAATACAAGACTAAGTTATACAAAACTCTTATCTAATTATTTCCTCTATAGATTTCTAAAATCTTAAATGAAATATGTATATATAAAGAGGGTCTTCAGTTCTTGTGAGTTACCAGCTGGTTACCTCAAATCTCAAACTCATAAAACTAAGACAATTAAAGAACAATTGGACAACAGCAATTATTAGAACGATCCAGAAAGCATGAGCAATAAAATACAAAAATACCTACAATCCATAATTCCCTAAAACCTAAAATGACAAACTAATGGCAGTAAAAGAAATATCAGAGACAGAAGAAAGCCAAAAATCCTTCACTAAAGCTGGGAGAGCCAATCACACCTATGAAACAACAATTACAAATGAAATAACACACAAAAAGGTATGTGCTCAAATAAAAACCAATTAAGAGCAGTAAAGAATGGATAACATGTTAAAACAGTTGGGTAGAAAGATGATGACAAGCATGAACAGCAATCTAAACAGATTGCAGTATCAGGCAGGAACTAATTAAAGTAAGGAAAAAAGAAGATTGATAATTTCAAATAAACAGCCATTGAAATAAACTTGAGCAAAATATGTTAACAAGCAATGCAAATTTGGACCTCTTTTAAACCAATTACCGAACACCTCAAACAAGAGGAATTTTAAGTGCATCAGAGACCTTGCAGGTGAGAATAAAGCTAGAGAAAAAGGAACCCTAGAGGCATAATGAAAGTGATAATGATTAAAAGGATGCTTAATAAATGGTAAATTCACAGCATTTACAAATGAAACGCACAAAACAAAAGAGTTCTTTTTTTCTTAAAAAGAAAAGACAAACAGTACCTAGAAAATGAGGTGTGAGGAAAAAAAAAGTTGGAGAATGAACACAAATCAATAAACATAAAAAAAAGCTAGTCAATCCTCGTTTTCCTTTCTCTAAAGCTAAAGAACAGATTACATAATTTGAAATATAATCTTCCCGAAACTAACATAGATCCGAAGGAAAATGAAGTATCCCACGTACAATTACAGACCAAATGCCATCAAATTTCACAAAATACTCACTGTCATTTCATCAAATCCAACATAAACTAATTCTTCAACAATCTTAAACACAAATTTGACGAAATGATTTAGCAGTTCACGAGCAACTAATACCAGTATATTAAAAAGGCTTCCATCATATCCATAAGATTAGTCATGTTTATTATATAATAGGAAGTAAAACGATTCAACATGTACAATTAGCGGTTAGAAAAGTCAAATTCTATAATCAGTATTACAGTTAAAAAGGTTGCTGTAATTAATTAAAGTAATTTAGATTAATTGGTTAGTTAATTTGCATTGGTGTAACTAATTAGAATTAGGTATTGTATATAAATACTCAACTCATCTCATTAATAGAAGCACTGTTCAAATCATTATCTTCTTGCTATTATCATCCATTCTTCAGATTTTGAAAAGAGAAAGAAAAACAAGCATAGGATGTAACTCATTTCATTCGCTCAAAATGGAAGCCTTAAACTAATCAATAGTGAGGCTGCAACGTTCATTTCAAACCACATCTGGAAGCCACATTCTAAATCAAATACATATATACACAGTTCATAACCCGACAATCAAAACACTGAATCAATAATATAAGTAGATTGATACTATGCAAGAATATGTGACATTTACCTAACAGACATAGATGAACACCAAGCAGCGAATAGCCATCGCAAGCCTTCCCCTCTTATTCCCTTTCTGACTTGGCTCATTTTTTTTACCAAACTGCATGTACCTATCAATAGAACTCCCTTTCTCACACTGTGTTTTCCAATCCTCTTCCTTTTCCAAGCTCGTAACCATTTTTTTCAATTTCTGATGGCATTTTTCAATCGTCACGCAAGATGTGAATTAATAAATGATTGTCTTATTGAATATTCTGAAATATGGTAGACGGACTGAATACATAAAAAATCTTACCGTGAACGTCACTTCGTATCGGACGAGGTATCAAGAGATGATATTTTTGGCACTCATACCGGATATGATATAGGAACGACCCGATTCACCTTTATACTGAACGAGGAATCGAGAGATGATATTTTTTGTACTTATACCGAACAGAGTACAGGGACAGCCGGATAATTGACGAATTTAGATATTGAATTCACACGTATAGGGACATCCCTATGGACCCCTAGAGGTATTAGTAAGCAAAAAAAAAAAAAAATGAAAGTTGTTGTTCTTACTCACTTGTATAAAAAATCATAATATTATTTGAGTTATTATCTTTATGGTTAATTTTGAAAATCTCATAACGATAAGTATGCAATAAATGATCTTACTTAAATTAAAAATTTCATTAGTAGTTTTTTTTTTTACTAACCTTAAATTTCCATATCGGTGAGTAGTGTGATATTCTTATTGGGTTAGTGTAGCTTACTCCTATTAACCATTTCAGATCAAGAATATCAAGACTCAAATCCTAATAAGCAGGAGAACTGTGAGTAGGTGTCTCTCGAATTCCATCAAGAGTTAGTAGAATTTAACCTCCCTACAAAATTTATTTACTACTTTTATATGTTTATTTTTTTTATGAACTATTATTAAATGAACATTTCTATAATCTTATTAGGTATTTAAATTTATGTGTAAAAAATGTAAACTTTAACGTTTTTATACGTTTTCGCATTAAATTTATAAATTTATTTTCCTTCTAATCCCGAGCTATTTCATTGTTACTTCACTTAAGATATAGAACTTTTTATTTTTTAATTATATTATACATCAACTTATAATACTTAATTTAATAAGATTAAATATTTAATTCATTAGTATATTAATTTGGTTATGATGATCAAATTTAGTTAAATTCAAACGATGCATAATATATTATATCAAAATGAATATTTATGACAATTACATTTCTTTAGTTTTTTTATAGCAATAACATGACATAAACTTTAAAAAAAAAAGAAATTATGGTATTCTTCACATAATTAAAAGGCAAAATTGACAAAATCAAATTAATTCAACCATAGATTGATATTATGTGTTATAAACTTGTAATATATAGCTTAATCAATTTGCTCCTTTTAATGGGAGACTAAATTTTCATCATTAAACAATTTAAAGCAAAGTAATGATGACTTAAAAACAATAATATATATTATAATTACATAGTACTAAAATTAATGTAAAAATTAAAAATTTATGAATTCTTAAAATAAGATGAAAATTGAACAAAGTGTATCATAAAAAAAATTGAAATTATTTTATACAAGAAAATTTATGCTGTTATTTTGTCTTTGGTTGTAAACCTTTTTTTTTATATATAAGTAATAATATATTTTTAAATTGGTAGAACATAACACAATAATCAATAAAACTTGTATAGTCTCCATTATCTCAAAAGAATTGAACTAAGATGGAAGTACCAAAAAATTCTTTAAATAATACAAAAAAATTTTAAATTTTTCCTGAAGTATTTTTTTATTTATTTAAAATTTTACATAAACTTTCAAAAATAGTAGTAAAATTATTATCATTTAATTAATGTTCGATCTTACAATTTGTGCATGCTGACGTAACACGTGCATATTAAACCACGTATATATTTATTTTAAATTTATCATCGTGTTAAATTTAATAGATATTAAATATTTTAGTTTATTTTTTAAAAAGTTCAGATAAATATTTGAACAGAAAATGTTTTGAAGAGAAATTTAAATAATTTTATATAATTCAAAAAAAACTTTGATATTTTGAGAGTTTAACTTACAGATTAATACTTATTAAAAGCATATTGGAACGATATTAGAGATATACAAACATTAGCACGACGTCTAAAAAAAAATCATATATATTATTCGTTAATTTAAGTGATTATTATTTTTTATTGAAAAAAGAATTAGGAAGCCAAACAAGGTTGGTTCAATTAATTACCCGAATCCGGATCCGACGGGATAAGGAAATGCGGCTAGGGTTTTGATACCTGCTCTTTGTTTCCAGTTCCAGAAGGGAGAAACCGAGAACCTCACTATAATTCCGTTTGAAATGCCTACTCTCTTCATCTACACCGCTGTTTGATCTCAACCCCCCAATACCCAAAATCCACAAAATTCCATCGTCAACAATCAGAGTCTAGAAATCCATCGATCAAAAGAAAGATGGAGGTAGCGGCAGCTGGGCCGTCGCTGATCCGGTTGCTGGCTTCATGCGACAAGGCCACCCGCGACAAAGCTCTCGCCACGCTTGTCAAGAACTGGCTTCCTAATCAATCTGAGATCTCCGATGATGACATGAAGAAGCTCTGGAAAGGTCTTTTCTACTGCGTGTGGCACGCCGACAAGCTTCCGGTTCAGACCCAACTCATCGACCAAATCTCTTCCGTGCTTCCCACTCTTGACGTCCCTCTTTCTCTGCACTATTTCTCCGTCTTCTTGCTGACTATGCGCCGTGAGTGGACAAGTATAGATGGGCTCAGGTTAGATAAGTTTTATCTCTTGATTAGAAGGTTTTTGCATTGTTATTTTCTTATTTTGAAGAACAATTCGTGGGATTTGGAGTTGACTCGTCGTTTAATGAGTCTCTTGGTAGACAAGACGTTTTTGGCTGAGGATAAGTTTCAGGGGAACGGTGTTCTTTATCACATTGCTTCTGTTTTTCTTGAGGAACTCAGGCCTTTTCTACCGGTGAGGAAGGAGGTTGTGGAAGTAGTTTTAATGCCGTTTGTATCGGTTATGGGGACGGTAGCTAATAAGGTCTTAGTTGGGAAGATTAAGAGTAATGTGTTTGATGAGTTGGTGAAGGTGGGGAATAAGTTGCTGGAGGTTAAGAAATCGGGGGTTGACATTGACAAGGGTGATGATGCAGTGGTATTGGGATCAATTGCCTTAGTGATGGGGTTTTCGGCAAGGTTTTATGAGTTGGGTTCTTTAAGCAACTGCTGTCAGGGAAATAGGAAAACTCTGTTTGGATTACATGAAAAGTTTTTGAAGTTGGAGAAGGATTTGGCATCATCTGGTATTGAGATATCGATTCCTGAGGTGACTGGTGATGAGGAAGATGAGGTGCCCACTTTGATTCCTAGTGTTGATGAGAAGGAAGGTTTTGCTGCAAAACCTGCTAATGGTAATGGGAATTCTGACAAGGCTCTGAAGAAGTGCGTCAAAGTGAAGAAAACTTCGGGTGGAGGTGAAAAGAAAGGTAAGAAAGGCAAGAAGTCAGTTTCTGATGACCCGGAAGATACCTTAATGGATGGTAATCACAATAGCATTGTTGTTGCAAATGGCGAGAATTCAAAGAAGGAAGGCAATAGCAATGGGAATTTGTTGACGTTCGATGAAAATGTGATATCAAATCTTCAGGTGAAATTCGAGAAAGTTGCTTCTGAAGGGGGCTTGAAAAGCAATATGGCAAGTGTTTGTAATGAGACTGAGGCAGTAGGTAATGGTGCTGGGTCGAAGAAGAGAAAGAGAGGAAAGAAAATGGATAGTCAAGGATCTCAGAATATGGACTTAGCTGTGGGTGAAGAGGATGCTGAAGCTAGTGCAACAGCAAAAGGTGGTGAGAACAGCGTAAAGAGGGTAAAATTTTCGATGAAAACACTTGGTGTGGAAGCCTCACAATCCCCTACCTCCACAAAGTTTGAGATTGCCGCCTTCAGTTACTCCTAGAGGAAGTGCTCTCAAGAAAGGAGTTCCTCCAGGCCCCATTAGGGAGATGCCTCCTCCAACTAAAAAGGTAAAACAGAAGACAAAATCTCCGAAGAAGGCAAGGAAGGCAATAAAGAGCATTTCGTTCGTAGTAAAGAAATACAAGAAGTTGAAGTCTCTAACGCCCTCTTAGGGCTATTTTTAATATTTGTTCTCCTTGTGATCAAAATTCTTCCAAGCTTTTCTTTTGATGCCTGCATTACTTTTTTTGCCCCTATTGTTATTTCTATATTCTGTGGAGAGAGCTGATTTCTAGCCCCTATAATGTGAAAGTTGGCACTGGATTTAAACAAAAGAAAAAGATCAAGAGTGACAATTGCTCAACTTTTTACATATGAAAATTGATTGATCCCTTGATTTTAATCCTTCCACTATGAATAGTGTTTATGATTTTCTGCTATGGTTTTAGCGACCCCCAGCTTTCTCACAATTGTTAAGAAACCCAGTTAGGGGGAGCTACCATTGGATCCTCGTTTGCCCCCAAGTCTGTGACGTTTGAAGAAAAAATTTCTTACATTTGGGAATTCAATATTGAATTCTGTATATGTTTGTTTATGAACAAAATTTATGTGAGGTCCAGAGATGCAATTAGGAATAACTTGGGTGAGGACGACACCTTGTTCATCTTAAGCTTGTGTTTGGAAGATATGAATTCAGAAAAAGTACAAAATTTGCTCAGAAACTTAAATTTTTTTATGCACATTGAATATGTATTGAAAGTAAATGTTACACGATTTTCTTTTCTGATATTATGAGCTCCAAAGATTGTGTAACCCAAAAGAGATGGTGCTACATATACTCCCCATATTGACTAGTAAGATTCTGTTCTAAGTTTATTCCTTGTAAAACTCTTAACAAAAGAAATTTTGAATCTACAATACAATGTGAATCCTGGAAACCACTTGAAAATAATTTCAAGGAAAAAACAAGTTGATGCAATAAAAAATTTTATGTAAAAATATTATGCTTGCCACAGACAAATGTAGAATGAGTTGGAGAATTCATCAGAATGTTGCAATCCAGACCTAAGAAGATTTGGACTAGAACAACAGTGCTTGGATGAAATTTACAGAAGTTTATATTCATCTTGTCTTGGTAATGATGGAAAACGAGGCAAGACTAAATAGATCTTTCAATGACCCAACGCTCGCTCATAACAGATGGATGCCAAAAATTTCTTACTACGCCTTCTCTTGAGAAATTGTGTTAGCATGTGAGAAAGTCCTAAGTGCTTTCCAATCAATTAACATCTATGTATGAGAATGCATTTATATCTTCTTCTTTCAAGCACACTCTACTGCAAAGATTTAAATAATTCTTCAAAAAAATCAAAGTTGAACAAATGGATTACCAGGAAAAAATCTCTCCCTGCCATCTGCCTTTTTCCTTGACTCTAGTAAATCCTTCTCTGAGAGTAATCCTATCTTGTCATCCCCAAAAACGAATGCACCAAAGAAATCTTTTATCCAACTCTTGTTTATGAGTTAAATCTTTGACTTTGTTTGTTGAAACAATAGAGTAGCATAAATCAGCTCATTCCAAGCATCTGGAACACCAGGAAGACACCAATGACTGCAGTCCTGCCTTCTTGTGGATACCTTTTTACCATTGATTGCCTTCTTGCCATATATTGATGGGTGACCATCCTTGCGGAAATTGGTCAACCTAGTAACGTTTAACAGTATTGCTGGAATTTGTGTTTCTCGAATGACTTCCTCTACTATCTTCATTTTCAAAGGATAAGTTTCAAGGATGGCTGCCTCAGTCAAGATTGGTTCAGTCTCCCCATTACATGAACCACCAGAGTCCCAATCACCACCTCTGTTTCATTTTAAACAGTCAACAAGCTAATAGGAAACGTGTTACAGTATACAGAATAAGTGCTAACATTATGTTTGGTTTAAATTTCTATTACTTTCAATAGGAATTAGAACACGATAAAAATACAATAAGGATTTAACAAAATACCATTTCAAATTCAAGTCAATTTTGTACCCAATTTGATTTAGTGCATGTATAAGTATTCTTTTTTATGGTATGGCCTTGAGAAAAGTAACTAGATTTCTAACTGCTTAGGTTACTTGAATTAAATCTTTAAGTTATTCATTTTGACGACCAAGAAAGCAAGAAGTCATTTCCTTTTCAAGACCAAGAAGGCTAGAAAGACACCTTTTGTATTTGGGTGGGAATGTACCTATCCTCTGGTCCTCTTCATAGTCAATTCATTTTCTTATTAAGAATCAACTTTTCATATTTATGGTACTCATATGACAAAAACTATGTCGGCCTATTTACTTATTTGGTTCATTTCCATATATATCCTGAAAATGGTAGCAAAATAAAGAGTATTTCGCCAGAAAACAAGTTAGTTTCTTCTTTTGGAGAATATTGAAATAAAGGAAGTCGAAAGTACCTAAAATGGGCAGAAGAGTATCCACGATAAAAGACCAGCTGCTTTGCTGGATTTATATTTGCACGAATCCATTTTGCCCAGGTCCTTATCGACCTTTTGTAAGCTTCAACTGCATCAAACTTGGGATAAAGCACATCACCCTCTCTATAGTAATTTATCCTGCAGGAAACAATTCTAACATTTAGTTCTAAATTTGATGCTCCATTCATGATTGCATAAGAAAAAATTGAATTACCCTTTCCTCCCCAAGAAGGAAATTACTTTAATGTTACAAACTTCAAACAAACTAATGGCTGTAAGATTGTAGATGTACCCTCGAGCAGTCTTTCCATGAACCCACCAATGACCAGTATTAAAGACAAGGATATCAGCTCGTTTCCATCGGCCACTTGTCTTGTCAATTTGATCTATTGATAGAGTAGGGTTTGAGTTTCCCTGTGCATTGATGCGAACCCCTTCTTTCACCAGGAAATGTGACCTCACAAATTCCACCGTACAGTCATAGTCCTGCCAAAATTATTCAAAATACCAAAATCATTAGCAATATGAGATCTGAGAGGCTTCCTACAAATGACTGTAGCATGATATTAGAAGTGATTTAATGCCATGTCCTTGGTAACCTGAGATACTAAAACAAATATTAGCAGTCACATAGCTCCTCCTTATTAAGCTATCATCTCAAACAAAAAGGCTTCAACAGGATGTGACCTCCTTCACAATAAACAAAGAAATCCGTATGATGATCTCAAAAGTAGACATTTATCTAGATCAGGATAAAAAATTTTCCCTAAAAAAAATAAGGACAGACATTTATTTGAAACTAGCTAGCAGAAAACTTGCAAACTATTATCATTTACAACCAATCAGAGGTTTAAAAAGAAGGATGCATACACAACATTCAGGACCCACTTTTCAGCAATATGATATTGCAAACCATATGCAGCTGGAATCTAGAGAATTGTCCAACACAAAATTTCAAACTTACTTTGAACTTGAACACAAAGTAGCCTCTTCCTTTTGTTATTTTGTGGCCGTGGATCTCGTACATTCTACGTTTATCCTGCAGACCTACTTGGAGGAGGCAAAGCATTGACTCAAACTGGTTGCGGTTCATGGAATCTCCAACAAGCATTAGTCGTTTACCTCTTAATCTCTCCAAGAAATCTGTGGCATTGAACCTGACATTGAAAAGTAAATCCAAAAAAGAAATCAATTATATCTTTTATAGAAGAAACAATTATACTTAGCCTGGGAAGTTCTTAAACAGAGAATCCTTAGTATAAAAATTTGAGCAATTGAACAACTATCTATAGGCAATATTTCTGATACTGTTTCAAAGAGTAGAGTGAAATGAAAAAACAAGTAGAAGTCCAAGTGTGGCAATAACATGAGGATTCAGTTGCCAAATACTTTCATAATGCAGAGATGAAATCAACTAACTCATTTCTGGTCATTTTTCCTATTTTAAGTAATTAGGAAAAGAAAAGAAAAGAAGAGTTTGGTTTTTAAGAGTAAAATTCAGTATAATGATCTCAAAAATAGAATTAATAAGAAGACAAAAACCTAAGACCCTAATAATGACTAAACCTGAAGTTTTAAGTAATGTAATCTTTAAAGTTAAAAATACCATAAAGGGAAAAACTCCCACAAAAACTGCAATTAGAATCGGACCGGCTAAATTTTTGTTAATGAATCTGACCAGAACAGAATCACACCAGGTTAAGAAAAGGTGCAAATTTGGAGATAATAAAGTGTCCGGTAAGTTAAGCACACTTGAAAAAATTAGAATTGCTTCAGATGATCATCAAAGTCTGGAAATTGAGATTACAGACCGTCCACTTTCAATTTACTAGTTTACAAAATTATGCATTACAATATGGAACCTAGAAATTAGCTTTGCTAGCCATATTGATAATATTGATATTACCAAGTTTAATGTTCTCAAAAGAGAGCTTCTAACTGCTACCCAAACTTATAAGCTTCATTAAACTTGCAATTACTTTTGATGTAGACAATAAAATTATTAATGCAAATAATTAAAGAAAAACGGCATAATATCGTAAGCAGGAAACCAGAAGTGCTTACCTTGGAAGATCACAATCATCAGGCTTCCACCTCCATTTGAGATACTCTGAATCGCGCCTTCCATTTGCCTGACAATCAAAAGCTTCGTCCACATAAGGACAAGAAGCCGGTTCGTACAGTGGATAGGCCGCATCTTTCACCCAACTTCCCGTATACAAATCACAACTTTCTACCTTCTTCGTCAACAACTGAATATCACTACCATCCGATTCATGAGCAGGCTTGTCATCTGTAACTGGTTTTTTCGTAATTTCCTTAACGGATATTTTACCATTGGACCTATCAGCTTTAATGTCAGGTTCCTTTCTCTCGGATTGAACACCATTATCACCCAAAACATCAAAAGAGTTGTCATCTGCAACTGATTTTTTCGCGATTCTTTCAACAGGGAGGCCACTCTCGAAGCGATCAGCTCCAGTGCTAGATTCCCCTCTCCCGGATTGAACGCCATTGTCACCAGATTCATCAACAGACTTGTTATCTGCACCTGGTTTTTCCGTAATCCCCTCGACAGGGAGGTTATCAGCTCTAGAGGCAGATTGAGAATAGCCAGTAGTGCTCTCAGAACTAGAATCGTCTTCGTCCCCCTCAGATCGAGAATCGCCGGCCAAGCTAACAATACTAGCATCGTCGAGTTCCTCTTCCTCGGAAAACTTTGAACTGCCCTGGTGGATGGAGGCTTCAAGAAGGTCAGATTGGGACGAGGAAGCTTGTGAATGTGTGAGAATCCTGTAGCGAGAGAGCGAAGGCTCGAGAACACGCTCGTTAAAGACGAAGGTACTGAGAAGAAACAAGAGAATGAAGAGGGAAGTTGTGAAAGCGTAACGGTTCTTGGGGCAAGAGGAATCTTCGCCATTGTGGAGAGCATAAGAAAAAGCATGGCAATTTTGTCGTCGTCGTCGTCGTCGTCGTCGTCGTCTTCTTCTTCTTCCTCCTAGTTGGGCGAGAAAGCTCCCAATAAGAGAAAAGAATAGGCAGAGACATTGTTGCCAGTGCTTTCGTCATGGATCGAAAATAGTACGGCCCTGTTTGGCCGTCACATTTGAATCCGATAATTATTTATTTTATTATATTAACAAATATAATTAATGTATATTAATAAAAAAATTAAAAATCTATTTGGCTATAAATAATATCTATTAATATCAATATAAATATTTATAATAAAAATATTTAAATATATGTATATAGATATAATAGGTACAATTTGGACGACTTGTGAAAGGAAAAATCTAATCTCACCCTAATATGCATTTTTTTAATCAACTCAAATTCACACTTATATAATTGCGAAATCTAAACCTTATTTTTTTTTTAGGAATATATTTCAATAGTTATTTATATATAAAAATGTCTTTTAATTTTGATTTTTTAAATTAATATGTATTTTTGATAATCAATTCAATTTAGTAAACAATAAGGTGAACAACTGCAAAAAATGATCATAAAATAAAAAATTTAAAATATTATTTTAATTATCTTTAAATAACTATTTAATTTGTATTATGAGTGTTTGAAAAATGTTAAATTTATATATTTATACAAATAAATATATGATAAACTGCAAAATATATTCTCATGAAAAAAAAAATTACAATGGACAATTAAAAGGATCAACTTATTTATTTCTTGATTAAAACATCTATATATTTAATATATAAATAAATTATCACCGATAAATTAATTTAGTGATTAAAATTATTGTACTCTATTTCAAAAAAAATATAAAAACTCACTATTTTATGAACTTAATTTAATAAAAAATAACTTAACTTATCAGGATAAAATGGTGACTTGATTCAATAGATCAGTTACTTAATTTATTAATATATTTATAGAACTGCAATAACATTAAATTTAATTCTAATAAATTATAACATATTCAAATAAAAAAAAATATTATGTGACAATTAATTTCCCTTAATTAGGTTAACTATAACATGCCAAAATTGTTTGCATTTGAATTTAGCGACTTCTATATGTTTGTTTATTTATGTTAATAGTTTTAATTTTATATCGGACTTGAATTTGGCTATTTCTATATATTTGTTTATTTTTATTTTTTTTAGATAAAAATAATTTGCTTATTTCTATTAATTTCTAGTCTTGATCTCTATATTGAGAATTTTTTCCCAACAATTAAAAATTTTTAGTGAATTGCATTAACAAATTCAATTGAGAGATATAAATTCTCTTAAAAAATAATAAATTTAATATCACATAAAATTTCATATAAAACTGAACAACGAATCCTAAATTCTATAAATATAATAAAATATAATATGCATTGTTATAATTTATTGTCTTAATTGGGTATTATATGTTGTATTTAATTTGATATAAGAGGAATCAATTTGACATAAACATATCACTCACGATTGTGTCCATTCACAAAGAACTCAATAATTGCATTTCTAAAGTCACACTTAGGACGATATTTGTGGACCTTAGTACCAATTAATAAACCCAAGAAATACCCTTTTTTGTAAACCTAATAATATTCACGAGCAGGCAAGAAACTAATCTAATAGGAAAAGCCACCATTCTAGGGATGTGTTAGCATATCAAAGTTCAAAGACCCATCAAAATTCTTTCTTCCCCATATGGATAGTCAAAGAATCTCTAAATTAAAATAAATCCACACTGATAAAGATGGAGAGAACATGTGCTAGAGCATATATGAATTCCTTGCAAAAGTTTCAATAGTGCCATTACTTCAGTGTTCAAATCTATGACTCTGAAAAGAGGTAAGAATCAACAATTTTACCAATTTTTTTTTTAAACTTTTGGTTAAAAACAATGTTAGAAATAATTATCCAGAGTATCTATTAATAAACATTTTTAATTAATTTTGCTCACAAAGAGTTTATATATTTAATGATCTATATATTTCGTCAAAAGGATAATAGTAAATTAGTAAGAATGATTTATCGTATGTCATAAATTATTCAAATATTTTAAATTACAAAGCAAATCAAATAATAGATTAAATCTTGAAAAGGAAAAGATTGATTATTGTAACTCAACATTAAACTCAATGTTAAGTCCCTATAGATTCTTCCAGAGCATAAGAAGCCGCAAACAACATCTGAAAGGTTATAATTACATTAAGAGTCATCACTGGTTAGGACAAAACATGGATCAATGATTCAATCGTGATGGGTTTTGTTTGGCATGGACACGCACGTGAATCCTATCCCCTTACCTGCCCAAGTATAACACTACAGTGTGTTAGTAACCTGTGCTAAGGAGGGTTGTGGTCAAAGAGGTCTAACTTGGTCTTGGGTCTCCTGCACTCTCTCAGCACACAACAGAATCATAGGCATGGGCCTAGACATGTCTCCCCAGTCCCTCTATCAATAATTGATTCCCCCCCCTTCTCTCCCTCTCTTTCTATCTCTCTCAATGCATTGTAGAGCACTTGCATATATATATATATATATATATATTCACATTCAGGTATTCTATCTCATTTCATCAAGAGAACATAAAACATGGTTATAATGAAGGTACCTTTGTGTTTGGTTTGCCTGTGTATCCTCACAATTGCTTTCTATTCCTTTTCCAGAAACATCATCAGCAATTTTGCTTCTTCTTCTTCTTCTTCCTCGATGCTTCTTACCGGAAGGAGAGCCATGAGGGAAACGAGGCCGTCATCACCCAATTACAGTGTTGGATACTCTGGTTTCAAGGTGGGTTTGATATTTTCCGAACTCTTCAATGTTTTAGTAATTTCTTATTTTCTAAAAAGGGAATGCAGATAAGTTAGCCTGTACATGTCAGAATAGCCATACAAATCAACCTGTATACAGTGTCAGGTCTAATTCAGTTAACTAGGAGTAATGTTGTGCACCAGAACAGATTTCTCAGTAAATATTTGATAAAGAAACCCGCCTCAGTTTTAGAGGAGACTATTACATACCTTCTGCGAATTTCTTGCATCTTGCACCCATCAAATTATGCTTCCGATAAAATTTTCCATGTAGACATTGTTCCAGGCCTCATAATCAGGTTGCATGAAATGCAGGTTGCTGATGAAGAAACAAGGGAATTGAAATTAGAAGATTTAGTGTCACTCAAATATACAACCAGAATAGATGACTCGGATCAGCTGGTTTACCACATCGATTACCATGGAGTGACAACTCACCCAACACCAACACCAAAACATCCCAGACCATAGTAGCGATTTGGATTTCTGATGACACAGGATGAGTGGATGTATCTTAGTGAAATAGATGAAGATTATATATAAATGATCAGTAATCATTAGCATGAAATCACAATCCATCTTTATGTGCAGTTTTATTTTCTCATGGCTTACTTGAACCAAACTTGTGGATTCTACTCAGATTCAAACTAACAATAGTGGGAACAATAAGTACAGCACAATATGATACCAATATAGAAAATTGTGCATAACTAATTTGAAAAAGAGAGAGAGAGAGGAAATCAACAATCACAGTGGCTGCATATATACTCTAGTCTGAACTCACAGTTACAGTTTGTTAGAATGCAGAGAGAGCATTCCATTCATGTATTGCTTTCTCAGTCTCTTATACCTCTCAAGTAGCCTCTTATAGCTTCTGATAGCACCTTCATACAATATTTCATTACAAAATTTATTTTTGACCTGCATAAATGCAACCTCTGCCATGTCTTTGTGCTGAGAAAATATTGTTAACAGATTGTCACTTTTTGTGAAGGGTAAAATCCAATCACGTCCTTCCGTGGTTCTGTCTCCCAATCAAGAAACTTTAACCACGTCATCCTTTGAAAAGGATCCTCATCTTTTTGACTAGCCATTTCCACTGTCCTGACTGCCTCCAGCATACTTGATGCTGAATTAATTCTATCAATGACACTGCTGAAGATGGCCCTTTGATTCAGATAAAGCCAACTCTCGGTGTTTGATTGGGAAGGAATTGCAGCAACCAAGCATGCCTTTCGAAAATTAGGATCAGAATCACCAATTAAACCGATAGTAATATGAAGTAAATGAATGGACATGATGCTCAGAACTGTAGATAAAGACCCAGAAGAAGTGTGCTGCCATGGCTTTTGGCTTTGGGTCCAACAACAAAGTGCAACATGTGCAAATCCCTCCCACCTGTTCTTAAACAAAAGGCAGAAAACACCGCATAAGAATAACAGTTTTTAAAACCTCAGAGTTCTCTTATTGGCTCATGAACAGCCTAAACATGTACGTTCAAAGAGTCAATAGTTTTCAATGCTTGTAATATATTTCACTACTTGAATGGAAATTTTTTTTTTCTCATTTAAATATAACCAAATAGCAAATAAACCTTTTTCTTTTACTGTTTTGACAGGATGTATCTTCCATATCATAGACTTACAGTGTCTAGTTTGAACGGCTCAAGTTTGCTAGAAATTACCCATGTCAGAACCTTATCATTTATATAATAATTGACAGATCTCACATTGACCGAAACACATGAAAGAGACGTCCATAAGCACCTTTTCTAGAGCCAATGGCCCCAACCCTGTCTCTATGTCTGATGAACAGGGACGTCTATGCGATTCAATTCTGTAAACAGCATGGGATCAATCCACATGCACTGTTGAGTTTTTGTCTTATAATGACCATAATTCCGATCAACCTCAAGATATCTGAGTATTTTATGGAAGATCTATATCTACAAGATGACCATTATAATAAATATAAGAGATTGATGATTATGAGAAAGGCCATTTCACACAAGATAACAAAGGGACAGGTTCTTACAAGAATAACACCTTTGACCATATATCTCAATTTAAAAAGAAAAGAAAACTTTTCTGAAAGCTTCATTATGAGGTGATCACAGGATAAGGCCCTAGAGTTAGAAAAAAGAGGTTTATTTTTATTTTAGGTTATTTTAAACTAAAAACAAAAGAATAGTTAGTTTGGAAAACCTAAATTTTTGAATCGTTGGTTTAATTTTACTTTTGGCTACTAAGTCGTCAAAATTTTAACTTCTTATCTTCTTTCACTTTCCGCTGTCTATACTTTTTGCTCAACTACCCTAATTGATTACCAACTTTAATTATTTACTCTCTTTAAAGTAGGGTAAAAACCTTGAAAGACTTCCTGTTATCCAGTTTTGGAAAACATAAAATCTGCGTTCTGACTTTCTCATCCAAAGAAAAAAAGGAAGATTTTAGCAAGCTTGTGAAGACTTATTGAAATTGTCCCCTTCTGCAGGTGGTTTTCTGAAAAAAAAAAAAAAGATAATAAAAACAGACTGCTTGATAGAGAAGCATCCCATTGGCACTTGGCATCAACGAATGGAACTTATTCTATAATTATTAAAGGCAAATGGTTAAAGAAATATCAAAATTCAAGGCAGCCAAGTGATTGGCCTTTGTATGCAAAAGAAGAGAGAGCTTGGAGCTATCATGTACAGAGTGAATTGGCATAAAGAATATGGACACATCCAATATAGAAAATTTCAACAGCATAAAATAACCAATACTATGGAAAACAAACAAGATTTACAAAAGGCAGGGGCATTGAGACTTGGGAGAAGCCAGGGATATGAGAGATAACTCAATAACCAAATAACATATCAGACTCATGCAAAAACTTATTGGAAATTATACTTACGAGAATGGAGGTTCAACCTCAATAGCTAGTGTCACATGCAGTGAAAACCCAGCTGATCCATTAACTTCGTTGTTATCTGTATATGCCTCATGAGGATAGCCTCTTGGAATATATAAGATATCACCTTCTGTTAGCAGTAAGTTTCTACATGAATCTGTTGAACTCTCAATATGTTCACTGTTAGGGATGTCACAGGACGCATACAAGCGAGGCAGCTGGACAATTGGCTGAGAGAAAACTTTCCAATGTTTTTTTCCAAGAAGTTGGCATACAAACACACAGTGATCATCATAGTGCATAGATAATCCTTGAGAATTAGGTGGTGTCAAATACAAATTGGCCCCAACTGATGGTTGACCAAATAGAGAAGCTAATCCATCAGCAATGGATGCAACACTCTCAAATCGGAACTCTGCACCACGTAAAGCAATTGTGTAACCCCTTTTAAATGCTTGATCACATTTTAAAATATCATCAACATGAAAAAAGCAAGGAGTCTCGACAGAGCAAGAGCATAAATTTTCTGGAAAAAAGTGAACCTCCCTTTTTGACTTCTTCTCTGTTCTTAGAACCCGAATATCCTGGTCATAGATCAGAGGACAGCCCAATTTAGTTCTTGCCTCCTTAAGGAAACCAAGGATGTCCATTTCATCTGAAGCAAGAGGCAGACATGAAATAAGACTTTGGAAGACAGAAGAAATAGGAGAAGAAAGAGATCCTTTTGGATATATAGAGCTTATAATTGATCTTAATAGATCATGATCCTCCTTCAAATTAAGACTTCCTATAAGAAAAGGTGAGACCTCCCAGTGATTTAACAGGAAATGTTTAAAAGCATTCTCACTTGAACCAAAAATACTGCTCCTAACCATCTCAGGTGAAGAATCTGCAGTTGGTTGGTCAGCATTAATAGACAGCCTAAATAAGCTTTCTGCCAGATTGTTGATTGTCATATTTGTCAAGTGAAATCCTTTCTCTTGACAAGATCTTGAAATATTTCCAAGAAACATTTGACTTCGAGCTTTTACCCAAATCTGTTTCAGAACAGCAGAAAAACATTCCAATAGCTTCGTTGGAATCTTTTCCAATTCCACCGTTTCACAGGTATTAGTAAGAAACATGGTTGCATCAAGAAGCAAACCTAGAAATTCACCTTCCTTGCAGTCTATCTCAAGATAGGTAATATTTGCTTCATCCCCAGGGCATAAAGAAATTGATATTGTTGATCTAGGAACCTGAAGGAATGCAAGCCTAATGCATGTTAAGTTAACGGGTGATAACGGGAGACACAAAAGAGCCACAAAATTTTCAATTTACCATCAGATCATGAAACCAAAAAACAATTCTTAGCAAAATGGCTGGGAAGCCTTTTCTTTCCCAACATTGATAAGTTGGATACATCTTTTAGACATCATTGAACATAAGCTTCTAAATCAGCCACTACAATACAAAAAAATATATGATTTGTTTGTCTTAAATTTTTAACAACTAATGTAAAAGATATGCTTTCCCAATCATATTGGGAATTAGTAAGTTAAATTCTGGAAAACATAGCTCCTTTCGAAAGCTCGTGGCATTAACTTCAAGGCCATGGAAAAACAGACTTGGTAAATAACAAGCTACCAGGAAACCACAACTGATGAAGCACCTCTCGCTCTAAAACCGACATCATGGCCCAAAGTAAGCCTAATACCATGAGTAGTACATGACACCTTTTCATAAGCTTAATAACATGTCAATAAAATTTAAATCCATGACTCTTTTCTATGGTTTCTCGGCAACCAAACAAAGGTAAATCATAACAACTGAACCCAAATCTTCTTCTTTCATGTTCATCGCTCTTTACAGTCAGTTGTTTAAACAATCAAGATTATTATAACAAACACTAGAGGTAGAAGCAAAAAACAAAAAGAGTTGGATACTTACATAAGAGTCTCCAGAGCAGAAAACTGCAACAAACTTTGTCGTCCAATGGAGGTTGTAGACAAATCCAAAACGGCATTACACGCTGCCGTTGAAACTTTCCGGTCCAAACTTGCCAGCAACGGAATTAATTCCTTGACAGTTTCCCCGTCAGAAGCAACTACTTCATTCATCTCAAACGACAACAACGAGGCCAACCCCACAAGCTTCGCCCCGCAGCGCGCAATTTCTCTATTTCTACAATAACCGCACCGAACAAACAAAAAGAAATCGACTTAACTCGATCAATTCAAACAGGCATTTACACTTGCATATGCTCAAACATGTATATACAGAGAGGAGATAACCTGGAACTGAGGAGTAAAGGAAGCAAAGAGATAATAGGAAAAAATAGAGATGGCGGAAAAGGGACTGTTGAAAGAAGCGATGCTCGAAGCTTGTTTAAACTTTTCTTCACAACAGAAATGGAGTCGGGTCTGTAGTCGGACTTCGACAGAGTTGCCAATAACAGAGCGAAGATGGTGTCCACGACCGGAGACTGGATGATAGGCGACAGTTCAGATTCTGAATTGCTCTTTCTCTTGCGGGTTTTAGCGCCATCGCTCGCCATCATCCCCCACTCTGCTGTCTGCAACTCAGTAGCTTCCAGCTGAGTCGGGTAATTGGGGTGTCCGTGTTTGGTACTTTGTGCCTAATGATACGTTCTCTGGTAACTTAATGTATTTTTATTTATATTAATAAACATAATTAGTATCTATTATTATAAACCAATAAATATATTTTATTTTTTTAATATAAATAATTTTATGTATTTACCTATTTTTATTCACAATTAAAACTGAATACTTTAGTTTAACAATTATATTTTATTCCCATTTGTTGACCTTTTATTTTGATAAAAATAAACTTATTTGTATAAATTTTATAGACATATTTAATCAAATTGTTCACATAAAGATTTTAATTTATAAATTAATATAAGAAAAGTGAAGATTAAATATACATAAAAAATAATATTATTAAATATTTTAATATTTTTAAGTTTACCTAAGAAATTGAAAATACAAAATAGTTTTTTGTAATTTATTTTATTTTATATTTTAAAAACTATTAAATTAAATCAGGGATTGAAAAAAAAAAAACAATCTTATAAGTAGTTATGATTAGCGGGAATAGAATGGAATCCTGGAAAAATATAAAACTAATTCAAAATACCAAAAAGGAAAGAAAAGCACGATTCTGTATTCGACTGAGTCCAGAAAATTGAGTTTCCATTATTATAAATTACTTTTAGTTAAATCACTTTCATAAATTCTTGATTTCTTCTTCTTTCAGTGTCCTAAAATTTCAGATTCTGCATCACGAACAAGAACTTTCAGAGTTTGGCTTCAATCGAACATTGAACAATGGCAGAAGAATTCGAACCAGTGGGCAAGATTCCGAAGACGGGTTTGTCGGTGATTCGGGCGATCGGCGAGCTGCATGATACGATGGAGGAGTTCGGGCATCAGCTATCGAGTAATTTGCAGCCTCTGAAAGTATTGATGGTCGGCAGCAAGAGCAGCGGCAAGTCCAGCGTCCTTGACGCACTCATGGGCCGTCCAATCCGGTTGATGCTAGAGCACCGTCAACGGACTTCCAGCGATGATGGCAGGGAGTGGGCTGAGTTCAACCACTTGCCCGGAAAGCGTTTCTACAGTTCCTCTCGCGTTCGCGAAGAGATACAGATACGGGTGAGTTTGTTTAGTTTTGTTGTGATTTTTCAGTGTATATATATATATGCAGAGACATAATTTAAGCTTGAATTCATATTCTATTAATTACAGTTTAATTTCTGCATTTTCCTTTAATATTTAGGATCAAGGGCTACTTTTTGTTGTTTTGCATCAATCTCTTTGCTTTTAATAAGATTTTATTGTTTAGCTTTTGTCTTATACAAGAATTAATTAGAAGTTTGAGATTAAACAAATTAAAATTGAAAAAAATAAAAAACTCACAACGTGATAATTTTAAAAAATTAATCTACTTTAGTATACATGCATTAAATTATTAGGTCTTATGAATTTAACAAATCATGCTTTTAAATTATATCTAAGTAATATGTATACTTATTTGTATTTATAGTCAGAATAAATTAATTGCCTAATTTATGTAAATTTGGTGCATTACTACTTATAATAAAAGTTCAATATGGTAATTTTCTTTATTGAAGAAAAAAAAAAGAGGTCAAAGAAAAAAATAGTAAAATTATATCATACATTTTCCTTTTTATATGAACAATGGAAAACTCTATTGTCTGAGTTCTTATTTTATATGAGCAAGAAACGCATGCTGATACGTGAATC